CAGATGGTACAGGTGTGATGCTGAAGGAAGAATACAGAGAGAAAACTTCTTGTCTTAACTTGTGGGGAAAAAAACAGCTGGTGGACAGTTATGAAGCAGTAATTCTGCAGCATGTCCCCTCATGGCAGTGACCAACAGTAACTGCAAGTTCCCACACCGTGACCTTCTTCATGGCATCAGCTTTCTGTCCTAGAGAAGGGCATATATGTTCAGCCTTTTTTCCATGTTGGCTGCCTAAACCTAAGAGCTCACAGCCATTTCTAGGCACTTAAGTAACTGCCTTGATTCTCAGAGGTTTGTGCATGCTCCAAAAATCGGATTAATTATGTGGACTCCTAACTTAGGCTTTTGGCTTTGGTGTGATTGAACCAAATACCATTCCTCCAGTGTGGGTAATGTTTCACATATGTCCTAGAAGAAGCACAGGAAAGCACAAAGGATTATTGCAGCTTCTGAGGAATATTTAATATCTCATACTTCAAGTAAAATTGGCAGGTTTTAAGTAGCCACTCTAATTCTTAAGCCATTAGAAATCTAAACATTGATTTAACATTCATCTTATTTTTAGCATGCATTCATAAAAAAAAGTTATATTCTGTATGGGCCAGTCAATGTTTTCAATAACTATGAAGTTAAAAAAATTTAGATTAAGATTTCAAGAGGCTGAGAGAGAAATTGAGTGCAGGAAGAGAACATCTGAGTGCCAGAGTACCAGAGAATGCCAGGGAGGATAAAGCACTGGGAAAACTCAGAGGAGAACAAACGAAGATATGTGCTATTGGAGCAGTGGTGTTAGTAAAGGTATAGAGGCAGAGGAAGCAAACATCATTTCCTTACTGTCTTATGAAGAAACTGAAGATAAAAATCATTGCCCTGCCTGCAGTATTTCTTGACAATACGTGTTTAGTTTCAGTGTTCATTTTATTCCAGCATTTGGTTTCATTTTATTTGGATTCCTACTTTCAAAGTTCAAGGCATTCACCAACTTTAAAGCCAAATTGGAAAAACTGAATCTGGATTCTCAGTGCAGCTCCAAGGCTTGCAAATCAGCCTTATCCCATAAATACTGCACTGTTTCTGGAGAAGAAGAGATGAGTCCTTAAATGAAATATGAGCTGTAGCATTGGGATGTGATAGTACTGCTGTAGATCAACAGCCATCTATCTGTGTTACTTAATTTGTCCCTGGCTCAGCTGTTCACTGTACTTGGGACTTTTTTGCTGTTTGTTTCATTTTATTTTCCTCTGAGATAAATGAAGACAAAAAGAAGGAGCCAATTGTTCTTGACAAATAGAAGTAATTTTAAAAAATATAACCGTAAAGGATAGTCTACATTTTCAAACAGCACTTTTCTTTTTGTCTTTCACGGAATCATCTTTAATGTTATTTCACTGTATATGTATTGAACATCCTTATATTTCCTTGGATGTTACTCCCATTTTCAGATCAAATTAACGTGCACTCTTCAAATGCTGTAAAAAATTCTGTTGGAATAAATGGGGATTTTAAGGTAAATATGGAGAAACAAATCACTTGTCATCTGGGCATGCCTATAACACGTAGGTTGCTTTATTTATCCTGAGTGTTGTGGGGGTACAAGGTCTTTGTTGCTTCAAGTGTCTAAGGAAGCATATGCTGTAATTGTTTGACATGTTGAACATGGATTAGGTGGGTGGTTATATGTAAGCCAGCTAACTTGTGTTCTCAGGAGATCAGCTTTTTGATGCCTGTCAGCTTACTTTTTCTTCTGAAGTATGTATCTGAAGGAATAGCTGAAATATGCATGGGATAGTGAATATAAATACACCATTAAATCAGGAGAGAATGTGACACCCCACACAGTTTCAGCAGCTTTAAAATTCCACTCTGCCTAAGGACTGGGACGGGTGCGGGGGACAGTGCAGCACTGGCTTCCTCTGCCAGCCCCGTATGGCAACACTGGGGTGGTGAGATCTGGGTAGGAGGTGAAACAGACAAATGTATCAAGTGTCTCTTTCTGATTTTTCTTGTTTACTGTGTAATTGAGACGGTTCAGATACAATGGCCTCGGGAGCATTTCTTAGCTTGCAGGAGGTTGTCTTTTGTTGAAATACTGCAGGGTACCAGGATTTTGCCTCTGAAGACTGCCAATGCCAACTTGCTTTTGGCAGAAAGTGCCAGTGGAATGTCAGTCATCTTCGTGTCCCAACTGCCAGGGCTTGAAAGATCAGTTCAGAGCTTAGGAGCTAGAGGCATCACTGACAGTTCAGTGGACTTGAGTTTGGATTGATAACTTAAAGGGCCAAATGTTCAAAGGGCTGGCTTCCAATTTTACACTGGTAGTAGAATACAAGTACAAAATTATGAGCAGAAAATCACAGATGATATTTTTCCAAGCTGACTTTTTGAAAAAGAGCCAGAAATTATCTGGATTTGGATACTGTTTCAGCAATATTTTTAGGTGTTATTAATGTAATATTTTAATTATATTTCTGCTGGACTATTGACTAACCATTTAATTATTTAAGAAACAAGAAATTAGTTTTGTAGTAACAGCTTTTTGGAGTGGTGGTTGTGCTTTGCACAAGTGTGCATGGATATTGAGTTTGTGTAAGTACTGATTAAAAAAAAAAGTGTCTGCATGCTTTGTGCTGATCTTACAGAGTGGATGGATAATGCCAAATGTGTGTATCCATTGTTGCTTCAGTGTCTAATCACTTTTCAGTTTATAATCTGAATATTCTTAAAGCACCTGCCAGGTTGGTCAGTTCTCTTCCCCTGTTTCATGTGGAAGATTCTGTGATTTTGAGAACTTGTATGTCCTGAGCTGCCCTTGAAGTTTCAAAGCCCAGAGGATGTTGAATGGTGGTTTGATGCCTCTGAAGGCTCTGAGCTCTCCTACAGAAAATCCTGGATGAAGAAGTTGGGTGGAATTGAGCTACCTCAGTCTAGCCCACATACACCAACCTTTGTCTTGATAAAGATATTTCATTAGCCGTAACTAAACTAATTGCCCAGATTGCTTGCCTAGTAACAAGTCTCTGTGGTATTTTGACCCAGTTTTCCTCTGAGAGCACTGAAGGAACAATCCTGAGCTTGTGTCTGTGCTGTCCTGGTCAGCTGTTTCTCCCATTGTCTCTGTCACCTCCAGGTGACAGAAGACTTGTGTCTGGAATTGATACCAGGGATATTTGCAAATAGTTTTGATTTCTGCATGTATTCCAAGTACTTGCAACTATTGAACTGCCTTTGTGAAATCCCAGGCAGAGAAGGACACAGACCTCCAGAAGAGGGCTTCAGGAGGTCATGGGCCAGCTGGGTGTCTGACTGACAGTGTGGGATTTGTAGCACAAATGAGAGACCTGTTGTTTTGCACTACATCTAAGGGATCTGATTTGCCCTCAGTACCATGACTCCTAGAGGCTGAAATAGACCCTGTTGACTAAAATATTATCTTTTAGTTAACAGAGGCAGCATCTTGTCTGCTGTCTTTCTGCATTAATCCTCTAAGATGTCAGTAGGAAAACCCAGCAACCCACTGCATAGGCTGGTGTTGCTGCCAGTTCTTCTAGCACTTGAATTTTTCTGCACTCAGATAAGAATCGCTTTGGCAGTGCTTTTGTATTGAGTACCTTATCCTTCCTGAAGTGTTTATCTGTTTGAAACAGCTTTAAATTTACATTAAAACCAGAACAAAACCACAACCTGTCATTGGCAATATTTCTGTTGGTCATGGCCACAATTTTAAAGGGGTGACTAGTGAGTTTGAGTGGCTTAGTTCTCAACTGGCCAGATTAAAGCAACCCGTTTCTTAGCAGGCATTCTAAGTTCTGCATGTTTTTAGGCCCTTTCATGGTGTCTCAAGTTATTAATCATAAACAGAGACATCCAAAAAATCTTGATCAGTTTTGAAACTCATGGCCTCATTTAGCTTTCATAACAGCTTGTTTCTAACAAAATCTGATGTGGAGCCAAACGAACTGTGTGTTTAAATGATCCTTTGCCTAAACTATCACGAAAATTTCAGATGGGATGAGAAGGAGGAATGCCACAGAGGGCAGCTTGTTGGAAGCTTGCTACTACTTAGAGACTAAAATAGTGTAATCAGCAAACACTCAGTCACTTTAATGCTTCTTTAGTGAATACAACTTCTTGCTTTCTGTCTTAACTGTTCTCTTGCATTTTCCTTAATTGCTTGCATTCAAATAGTAGAAGACATTTTAATTTTGATGCACCTAGATTTTCTTGTTTGGTAGAAACCAAAATTAAGAACAGAATTATGGAACTTCTTGATAAATATAATACCTTTATGAAGAATCAAGAAGGCTTTGTAAAGGCCTCATAAATTTTGAAAGCTCTTTGAAGTAAACCTGTGAATCAAGAAGATCTAGGTAGATTTCTGGAAGGCTTTTGTAAGGTCTTTTCATCAAACTTCCTGAAGGAAAGTGAAGTTTCTTCTTGGGATATTACAGAAGAAAGAGGCTATATGTAAACAAAATGTTTATATGATAGGAAATTATGGGAAACAAAGTCTGAGAATCCCCAGTTGATTCCTAACAGAGGAGAAGGAGGTGACAATCAAAACTGAGGAGGCAGACAGAAAAACAAAGGAAATATGTCATGCAGGACATGGCTGAGATATGAGACCATCACAGGATGTCATTGACACTAACATTTAAATTAATAAGGTTGAAATTTATGTTTTAACAGATAAAAATTGATGAGACAACTTACTGGAAGAGAATCCATGAAATGGTGTTCAAAACAAAGATACCACTTGTGGCTGAGGAAGTCACAAAACTAGAAGGGTTTAAAAGGCATGTATGACTATCAGCCCTCTTCTTACTGCCCTTCTTAGACACTTGCTATTGGCTGAAAGCAGCATAGTTGTCTCTAGCCTGCTATAACACAATTATTACAAGCAATTATTTAGAATGCTTTATCTCATTTTTGTCTTGTTTCAACTCCCCAAACACACTTTCTTTGACCCAGTGTTTTCTGTTTTTCTGATTGCTCACAAGGCCTGGCAACTTTTGAAGAGCTTTCCTCTGCTCTCCTGTGACTGTGCTGTGTGTTTTCATTTGCTGATAGTCTGCAAAAAGAGGATTCATTAGGAATTTTTACCACTTTGAGGTAAGACTTTTAGATTTTGCCCTTTTTAAAATGCATTGCATGGAAATTTGCAGAAAAAATTCAGTCTAAGTTAGTTGACTTCATATACATGTAGACATCTAAAGGAATGATATTCAAAAGCACAGAAGGATTTAAACTATTGCATGCTAGTGAAAGACATTTCTGTAAATGTTTTCCCTTTTTAAAGCTGGACACCAAATTAGTTTTTTGCCTGGTTCAGAATTCATTTCAACCCAAATTGAGACGAAAGCATTTGACTTAGAACTTTGTCACAGACTGGAAATTCTGTTTGGATTTCTTGTCAAAGTCACGTCATGAAATATTTGATGACAGAAATGTCAATATGAAATGTTTCACTGCTTCTGCTCATGAACAGGAAATCCTCTAATGGTCACTTTTAGTTAAATTTTCTAGTCCATCAGTCAAGGAAGCAGAGTAGAAATTTAATCTACGGGTTTGGTTTTGTTTTTTTCTTTTTTTCTCCCAGCCACTTGAAGTATACATAAGTCATCTTTCACAAGAACGTTACCAAAACCAGAAAAACACCTAGAGAAAGCTATAGAGGATACTTGTTTCACCCAGCAAGGATTCTTTGGGGCCCCATTTTCTCCACATATGTGTCCCAATCTTCTGGACTTCTGTCATCCTCAGCTTGTGCTATATAAATTGCAAAAGAGAGTAATGACCAGCTTTTGTCCACACTCTCATGCACTTGATCCAATTTAAGTTATCATCTGCATCTTCTGGTCTCTTTGCAAAAACCCCAGCACAATTTCCTCAACCAAGGTTTTTGTACAGTGAATCCACAGACAAATAAATCACGACTTGCCACCTACTAGTTTTTCTATAGCTAAGATTTGAGGCTTAAGAATGAAAATGTATTTTCTTTCTTTTGTGATGGAGCCAGTGACCTGAGTTAATATGGTAGGTGAAGTACTGAAATTTATTCCAAAAGGATCAAGTTATGTGAAAATGGCTTAATGAGTAACAGATACCAAACATAATCAGTTTTAATTAACAGAGAGTGAGACACTTGTGAAAAATCATCAGACAGTATTTTGGATTGAAGGACCCTCTTTCTTGCCAAATGATACCTGAATTGCCTTTTTTCACTCCTGAAAAGAAAAATCAGGCCTGGTGAGACAAGAGTTAGTCTATTTAGGGATTGCATAGCAGACTTGTATCATTTATTTTCTTGTGAAGCTCAGAAGACCACCTACCCTCAGGAGGCTAGCAGTGGCAGACACTGCAGAAGTCGATATAATTTGGCTATATCTTTAATGAAGTTACAGGCTTTGTCTTCCCTGAACGGCTGATGCTGCCTCCTTAGAGAATATGT